CACACCCGTTTACTAGGAATCAGCTTTATTCCAAGCTCGGTGCATGCACGGGTGATTATTGTCTGCATTTGTGACCTACAAATCATCAAATAACCAATCAACATTATCATAATACTGAGAGACAAAATCCAGCAAATCAAAAAGCACTAAATACTAGAAGAATCATTGACTTTTCAGACAATTTACCTGAAAAAGCGGATCTTCTCAGGTAGAGGTACACCAAATTCATCACAAATTGATACTAAAGCATTCTTCAATGTGACACTATTGATAACATTATTTGGAAAATACTTTGTATACTGAAGTGAAAGTGAATTATCACAAACTAAAAGCTCCCATATCTTCTTTCCTCTGATATCAAGGATAGGCCTAGAGCAGAAGTCCAATTCCCACTCTGAAATGCTTTGGGGATCAACTTCTGGATCAAGATAACGTAATTCTGCTGTTGGATCATCTCCTTCATCAGCAATTTCAGCTTCCAATGGTGAAGATATTGAGCTCTCTGAAACTGGGCATTTCGGAAAACGACAAGTTCTATATTGATCTTTTGATGGTCTCTTAGATACTTGAAAGAAGTGAAGTGGCATCTTACTGAGGAAACTGAAATTTGAGTTGAGTTTGCATGGCTGAAAAGCAGGATTCGTAATTGACCCGGAGCCTATGCTTAAACTACACATCCTATTGAAATTTATTTTCCACTATCCCAGAATGAATGGAGAAATCAAAGTGGGGCAGGCTACTGACACAATTGGTAGATTGTCATCCGCTAAACATATGCATAACTATAACCTACATCAAGAAGTGCACTAAAGATTTTCCAACCCCCAAAAAAAATCCTTCAGAAGGCATTCAACTCCTTGTGGGAAATAAAAAGATAAACCTCCAAGTTTGGCCAACCTGCAAAAATAAATGATCATTTATAGGAGCGACACTAGCTTTTACTATTAGTTTGATTATAGTGAAACAAGATATCCATCATGCATAAAATTGAACCTTATTCTTGAGCAATCTAGCATAAGGTTTACCAAACAGGATTCTCAAGAATCAGCAGTTATTATCATGTTCAACTAAAAGCTCGCATAGTCAGGTAGCTTTTATTCAATCATGAATTTTAGCTTTTTTGCTGGCTTAAATTCTACTCCTAGATATTCTTTGCCAGACTTTCCACCAAACAGGGCATGCACCAGCGTCGTATTCTAGAAGCCAGTATGATTTGAACTATTTTAGACGGCATGCACACTTTTAAGAGGAATAATCTCACACCATTAATCCTGCTGACAAAATGAGCCCTTATTTCATTAATCTGGTAGCTAAAAGCAAATGCAGTTCTAAACTAGAGCACATGATGGCCATTAAACATAAACTTGTAAAATTATTAATCATTCCCTGCACAAAATTCTTATGCTAGTTCATCCCATTTCATCCCTTGTTGATTGTATACAGCAATTTCCTAAGTTTTTTCTTTTTTCCTTTTTCCTTTCATTGACAAGGAAAAAAAAAAAAGAAGAAAAAGCTGTGTGCTTGGCCTAGTTACCAGGAATGAGAGGCACATATATATTTAAACTGCAAATCTCCTTAAGAAGAAAAACCCCCAACAAAATAATCCATCCCAACTATACAAAAACTTACAGAAACAAACAGTTATGCAATTCTTGCAAATTTTCGCACAGTTACATCTTCAGAAGAAATCAATAGGAACAGAACAGTAAATCAGATAAGAACTTAAATAACAACACAATAAATAAGAAAAAAATGCAGATAAGAGAGCATCAACAGTAAACAGAATCAAAAGAAAAGAAAATTTATCCAGGATGAAGAGGAAGCGAGGGACTCACAATGGAAGAGGAGAAGATGAGAAGAAGAAGAGTATGAGAAGTAGCTTTTTGTGGACTGTGAGGTGGAGAACTCGTTATGTTTCCATTTTTCAGTTGGGAAGTTGTAGATTAAGTAGTCCTCCTAAAATGGTTGGGCTATTTACACTTTCCGCCCTTGTGTTTTGGATAAACTGGAGGAGGACCCCTTAAGGTATGACAAATTCAAAACCTACCACACAAGAACAAGAAGTTTGGACTATGGATGCTAAATTTTGTTATTCACTCTTACCTATAAATAGAAAGAACAAAAAAACTTTGCTAGTCATTCGTGCATGTATAATGTCCAAAATACACTCACTTAGGAATAACAAGGAAAAAAAAAAAAATACTTCTTATTAATAGACCAAAATGAGGTTGAGAAGAACTACTAAATTAAAATTTTGAAAAAATTGATCGGCTCATAGTTTTAATAGAGTAGGTTATGATTTATAATTTAAAGGCTACTTAACTATATAAAGTTAATATTGTTGAGTGTATTTTGTAAAATTGCATTTGAAAGATACCAAATATTATATTAAAGTGATAGCTAGAGTATATTTTAATTCTTAATATTTTAAAGAAATTTTGGATGTCTAATTATGCTTTGGGCCCCAAAGAAAAAATACTAAAATAAGGAAAACAAAGATTGATTTCATTTGACAAAAAAGAAAAAAAAATCAAAATTAACTTCAAATGCTACCTAAACCTCAACCCTCCCAAAAATCAGTGTCATGGGTATCTTGCTAGTTTAATGCAATTAGAGTAACAGCACCAAAAGAGTATCAAAAATCCTAAGTGTGTTTCGATAGGGGATTATTTGGAATAATATTTTGAAAAAAGGCTGTGACATTGTTTTGATCTAATATATGTGAGAAAAAAAGACAGTTAGAAAAATAAAAAGATTATTAAAAAAATGTGTTTATGAAGTAATAACAAAATGCAAATAAACCACTATCCAAACATACTCAATGAAAATAAAAAAAGTCATGTTATTTTTTTTCAAGAAGTTTTGATTGAAATTCGAATTACTTAAAATTCTATTAACAAACTAACAAGCAAATAACAAAAAATGGAATTAATAGTGCAATATTGCACTATCAATTCCACTAGATGTATTATTAATTTTGTTTATTTTTTAAAATTAAGATCAACAGTAATTCCTAACTTTTCCTTTTAAGACTTGAAGTCGTGACATTTCAATTATAAATGAAGTGTCATACCGGGCAATACTTTATTGATTAGATGTATGATTAATTTATTATCATTGGCGAATTAATTATATATGCTATCCTAAATTTGATCCCAAGGTATAAATAGGATTATTATTTACTACTAAAAAGAGCACAAATGATGCAATAGATGTATGATTAGTTTATTACCATAAGTGAATTGATTATCTATGCTATTTCGTTTTTGATCCCGAGGTGCCAATAGGATAAGTATTTACAACTAAGAAAGAGCATAAATGATGCAAAATAGGATTAGCATTTAATGTAAAATTTAAGAAAGGTGTTAATTTGACTTTCCACCCTCAATAGTCGTCAAATCACATTTCACACAATTAACTTCCAATTTCAATAGTCAATATCTAATTTTTCACAATCCAGTGTAATAGAGAGAATTCTAGAAAACTTACAAAATTACCATTGTTAATGAAATTTTCTCTATTTTATTTCCTTCTTTTATATTCTTTTTTTTTTTTCCTTTTTCCCTATCCTCGCATGCTACCAGCTATCACTTCCATTCCAAGTTTTCTTTACTAGTAATATTTTTTTTGGTGAATTTCTTTGTATTTTCTAACTCATTGTTTTATTTTTCTTGTAGTTCATGAGGAACTTATAGCATAACAAAGTACTACAAATCATTAAATTGAAAAGCATAAGCAATCTAGATATTATAGCATCCAACCAAATATGAGCAAATTATCTAGGACTTACAAGTGATAAATAAATATAGACCAACTACTACTTGTATTTAATTTTGATTTAAATTATTAGTATTTACAGTTGATTTACACATTTTTTTTTAATTTGTTACAATTGCATTTGTTACTGTTAGTATCACTATTGAATAACTTATTCCAAGTTCTATTTTGCTTGTACAACTCATAGCATCTTCCTCGAAAATCCTAGCCATTCTTATCATGATATTGGGAAACATCTATTTTTCAAACAAGCACAAATCGTATGTTAGCATATTCATGCATAGGTCAAATAAGATATTATTATTAAAGTGTGCTTTATACATTGGTAACACATGCTTGTTACAACATAGAGTTTGTAATTAGTGGTGGCGTTTTGGATTGTAGTTTTCTGTCAAAAAATTCTGAAATTTTTCGTGAGTCCATTTTCCGATCATCTTTTTATCTCACATAAATCAAATTGTTATAGAATATTTTTTCTATAGAAACATCAAAAAATAACATGAAGTTCAATTAGATTGAAGTATTATTCTAAATTTACAGATATCAATATTAAAGAGAAGGAAGTCCTCAAAAAGTAAAGAAGGAAATTCTAACAATAGAGAGTTGGGACTTGAAGGACCAAGATTTACATAAATGTGCATTTCACTGAGTTTTTGATCTGACATTTTAGAGGGAGCAAACTCCAATTTTCATCTAAAGATTTAATTGTAAAATTCAAATTTTTTGATTGAAACCAAAGCAGTTTCTCTAAAAGTTTTCAGGTGGCGAATGCTGATTCTTATAGCCTAACCACCATTGTATTAAGGCTTGGTGGGGTGGGAGATACGGTTTCAAATCTTGCCTCCCACTAATTTGCCATAATTAAATGTGGTCTTGGTTAAAAAATTCAGGTTGGTTAAAAAATTCAGGTGGGTGTGTAGTGCACTCGTCTGATCCGGTGGTGGTTCAGTCCCTTTCGAGTTATCTCATACTATAGAAAGCTATCGTATCGACAAAAAAAAAAAAAAAGATTCTTGTGACGGATATATATAGGATTCCCATAGTATAGGAAGCTATCGTATCGAAAAAAAAAAAAAAAAAAATTGCTTGTGACAGATATTGACATGACTCGAATTTAATCGGGTCATTATTAGGTCAACCTGTTATCGACACATTAATCGAACCAACGAAGATTATTCTGATTACAAAACTCAGTAACATCGCTTCTTTCTGTTTCTTCAATCCTAGAACTTGAGGAAAACAGAGGCTGCTCTGACGTCCCTGTACTTGGATTTGATTGTCTCAGACGTGATAGTTGCAGATGCAGAATCTGCAGAGTCTGCATAAGCCAATAAGTCAAAAGACACATGCATAAGCAACACAAATACAAGAAACCTATAATTTGAGATGAAGATAAGGGAGGAGGAGGAAAGTACCTAAAATGTGTAAAATGGCTACACGTGCTGCTAATTGTTCAGCATCTTTCTTTTTTCTTCCTCTACCTCCAGTATAATTGACACCATTCAGAACCAATGTGGATGCAAAAACTGGAATTAAGCCTTGTGGTTGAACTGTATAATATGCTGGATGCTCCAGGTGCATCTTAAGAGCATACTCGTTCAGGATAGACTTGCACAGAGTTGTGTCCTCATTCAGGATAGACTTGCATGGAGGGAAAACAATCAAGCAAATATCAAAGGAAGTATTTGCATTAACTCATTCACCATACAAGGATTATATCAAAGATATTGGAAATCAGATTTGGTAAATCTTCAAACCACAAAAAAAAAAAAAAAAAGGCCAGGCTACATCAACATGCTTCAGGAATTTAAGCAAGGCTAGAGCTTGGCAAGCACTGCTTAATACAGTACAAAAGCAAGAAACATACATAATAGTATATCTAATGCGTGTATGATCTCAGAACTTTGAAGGGAGTTCTACTAGTATACCCTAAAAATGGGAGTCATATCTCCTGCAGATAAAAAAATAAATAAAAATGCGCTCTGCTTAAAAGGACACGCTAAGACATTGCACTTCAATAAATATAGCAGAGATTCTCACACAAACCTTTGGATTAATTGGGTACCCATCATTGTTCATCTTTTTTTGGATACTCTGTAATGCAATCATGGCAGCATTATGTTCTGCACTCTTTCGTCTTTGAAAAGTCCCTTCAGATGCATACTTTTTTCCATCAACCAATACTGTAGCTCTAAAGTTTGGTGAATGTTCAGCTCCTTCTTTAACAATCGTGTACACGGGGGGCTGTAAACAAGATTTTTGTGTATATTCTTGCAATCGACTTTTATACATGTGGTGTTGTAAACCACCTACAATATCTAATAGCAAAAACATGTCATTCAATAAACATCAATAACTTATCGCGATCGAGTGATAACAGATTGCAAAGGTGATTTGGCACTACCCAAGCATCACAAATTAAGGCTTAATTAAGCATGGGAAATGAGAAATCAAGTACAAAACAAAGTAAATACTTCACAATAAGCAGTTTAGGAAAGCACACTGAATTAACTAGAGGCACAGACTGCAGACCGTATATACTAAGGAAAAAAAATTTGTTCCAAACTTTCACATAAATGTTTAACTTCAAACAAAAGTTCTGTCTAGTGAGCTCTCTCTGGTAGTTTCAACAAGTAGAAAGAATCCCAAATGTTCACATAGCATGGTCTAGCTTTCTGAAGGTTCGAAAGCTGATACTTCAAGAAAACTAGAGAAAAAATGCTTTTCTGATCCTAACATGTTTGAAAGTCCTTTGCTGCATCTCATTTCAGACAAAGTGCACTCGTTTTTCAATCTTTTGGGGGCAGTCGAGGAGAAAGTGTAGTACATAGGCACCAGGTAAAGAAAAAGAAGACAAAAAGAAGATATAAGCAGAAAAATGAAAATGCAATGACAGAAAAAACATACCTCCAAATCAATTACAAAATAATAAAAACCAGATTGATACAGTCTAAGGGAGGATAGAGAAAAGAGAACGATGAAGAAATCTAGGAGTGTGACTTATTTTTGTCACTTGTTAAAAATAAGATTAGGATGACTTGTGAATACGACACTTGTAAATCGTGAATAAGAAATTAAGACATACTTCGTGCCATTGAGTATGTCTCTCGTCTGAGTTGTTCGACTATCCCATTTGCCTTGATCTTCTCTCTTATACTTCACTTATGTTTGCTCAGTGATGGATAACACATAATCTTGATTGAGTAAAAAGAAGGATCAAGAGCCAATTTATAGATGCATAAGTGACCCTTCCCATCATTGATCATTAACAAGCCTCAGTGAATCTTCTCCTTGATAAGATAAATCTTATTATGTAGTTTCAAGAATGTACATACACAGTAAAAAATTTATATACTTCATTTATGTGAAGTTTCATAAATGTAAAAAATAAGTTCATTGATCACTTGATAGATTCATGACTTTGATCATAGAATCTTATGATTCACTGATTAAGTAACTGACTTTGGTTACAATACCTTGAACCTATCTGTACATGTACTTAATTTGTCCTCTCATATGCATGGGATACAATGTATAATGTTACATTTATTTGCATGTTACATTTATGTGGTCATGAAGGCGACCAAAACAAGTAATTAATCTAACATTCCTGGCTGGAAACGCCATACAGATTACAGAGGGAAAAAAATGCATGCAAGGAAGAAACAGAAAGCAAACAAACAAACAAAAAAGGAAAATTCATACCCTCTGAGGACAGTTGGCCTGTGATCAGGCACGGTGCTTCTTTGTGGAAGTTAATGTGGTTGTCAAACGAGGAAAAAGAAGCTGATCAGACAGGGAGAAGATGATCCCAATAGGCACCAGTTCCCTAGTATTAAAAACGATGAAGTTTATCCATCTTCTTTGTTTGCTTCTTCTTTGTTTCCAACGTTAGCTCCATACATCTTGCTGTAGATTTATTTGCATTTTCCGATGCTCTGAGCTCGGCAAGTTGCTTCTGTCATCAGGGCCTAGATATGGGAATGATTACATTGAGCAAAGAATAGATAGAAAATCACCTAATACTTTTTTTCAAAATGATAAGGAGATTGTAATGAAAATCTCACATGTTAAGAAAAAAAATAGGCCATTAGCAATAGCAGCAATTTGATCCGCATGAATCTCTTGTCCGAGTTTGCAGTCCTTTTTATTTTATTATTTGATCACTTTTTAGGTGTGTCATCTGCTAATTAAGCCTGAGTAATACATTCAAGTATTTCTAAGTTCTATCCTATACCTATCAAACATCTGTTAGTTTAATGAAGAATCTTGTTTGGATTGCTATTTTCTGAAAATTTTGTAGAAAAATATGCTGTAACAACTTGATGTATGTAGAAAATGTAAAATTGTTTTGGGGAAAAATAATAATCCAAACAATGCCAACTGGAACAAAATGTTTGTATTCTTATACCTGTTGGTAGTACGAGAATCTAGCTCATAATCTTGATCTTCTAAGGAGATTGTAAATGTTTTTTTACTAATAAAAATCTCATTTTTTTTTTAAAAAGTAAAAGGCTTCTAGCAGTTGTAGTAAATTGACCGGTATGAATTTTTTGTCCCAATCTACATTCCATTTTCTTAAAGATTTTAAACGTGTCATTTGCTAAGCCTGAGCAATACACATTCATGTACGTTTCTTAGTTTAATGGAAGATCAAAATTATTGTAACAAAAAAGTGATAAAAGTTAGGGATAATATCAGAAACCTCCCTTGAGGTTTCTCCTAATATGACTTGACACCCCTGAGATTTTTAAAATATCACTTACCTCTCTTAGTAATTATAAAAATACTAATTAACCCTTACTTGATGCATAATTCACATATCAAATAAATGGAGCTCAAAAATTAAAAAAAAAATGAAAGTCACTTTCGTCTCTTTGTCTTTTCTCTAGCATTCTCTCTTACTCATTTTTTGGATGACTATGTATTATTTCATTTGTAAATTATAATAATTGAATTTTGTTTATCTTTTACTTTTTGTGATTATGATAGAGCGGTGTATGATTCATTTGCTTATTTTAAGTTGATTTTTATAACGATCAAGACAATTTAAAATTTTAGACACGGGTTGAGAAGAAGTTGGAAAGAAATATAAAATTCATAAGAAATCAATTTTGAGCATATAGAGTTAAATTCATGCAAGTGTATTTCTATGAAAATATCTTTTTTATTTTTCAAATTTATATTTTTATGGGATATAGCATTATGATGTGGCAGTATTACTAGAGATTATTTTTAGTTGATGCATGGCTTTCTTGAAATAAACAAAGCGGTTTAGGAATATTTTTATTTAGCAAATAAAAGGGTTTTTTAGGATTTTTAAAAATTTTGTTGCACAAATAACAAAGTAAGAGAGGTAAGTGATATTTTTAAAACTTTAAGAGTGTCAGATGATATCCCCAAAAGTTATTGTAGCACCCAAAACTTTAAGGGCTGTTAATTGAGCTATTAGAGTTCTTTCCACTATCAGATTCAAGATTCGAATCGGGTTGTTAGAGTTCTTCCCACTGTGGGTTTAAGATTCGAATCAATCAAAAAGTTATTGGCTCTTCTCACCCTAAAAATATATCATAAACACATTTTTCAACTATATTTTTGTCTCACATATACCATATCAAAAAAAATACTACAGTATTTTCGTTCAAAAAATTATCCCAAATAATAACGTATATCAACTATCAAGAAAACATTACCAACACAAATTCACAGGACAAAATCAAAAAAAAAAAAAAAAAGTAGCAATGTGGAAGTTCTTCAAATTTACGTATTTAAGAAGATATAACGTATAGATATTAAATGAAGATATTACATTAATTACCTTTGCGTAATAAACATTGAATGAAGCTTAATAAGTTACTTACGAAAATATAGATTAATGTATATATATATATATATATGCTTACATTGCAAGTACGTTCTTCCCATAGATCTAGGGATTAACGAAGCAAACATGGCGTTTACTTCCAAACAAGTGGCGGGTTTTCTTCTGGTGCTTTGTGTGATGCAATTTTGTTAGTCTCTCCTTAATTCCTGTCCTAAAGAACTTTCCCATTAAAATTCTACATTCTTCATAACTTTATTTAGGGACTAAAATCAAAGGAGTATGTTCAGAAACTCTCGCTAAAATTGACAAATAGATGGTTGGACTTTGGAGAATTGTTCTTGAGATGTTCCCAAATATATGCTTTAGTACTAGTTAATTTTACGTACATGTGAAATAAAAAGGTGACAGGTGAATGTTTCAAAGTTTTATAAAACCAAAACAAAATTTCAAGAAACAAGTTCACCGGAGAAGTTTGATGCATAGTTTCAATTTCATGGCACGAGCCTAGTTTGGTTGCCTTTGGACATTTCACTAGACAATTTAGAGTTATAATAAAAAAAAAAAAAGAACATTTACCATGATGCCAATTAGAACCATAGACAATTCCATATCCTTCAATCTTGCTTGTGAAAGAAACAATGAGATATGCTAACGGTAGTCAATTGATAACAAAACAAATATTGCAGGTCTTGAATTTCAGTGTGAAGCAAAGAGTTTTCTTGGGAGAGTAGCAGATATTCTTTTTAAGCCTATTCCTTGCAAGGTTGATGACGACTGCAAGGGGCTTAATCTTCCTTGGAAGTCATGTTATATGACTCAAACAGATGTATGTGACAACCATGAGTGCAAATGTCTTCCTTTCCATGGATTTAAACCACAAAAGGTGCTATCCTAAAGGTGGCAGAGTGGAAGGTTGGATATGCTGTGATAAGCTTTTGTATTGTCCTATTTACCTCTAAGGTCGAATAAAGAAGCCATATCCTTGCATACCCAAAAAAAAGATACCCTTAGCTTTTTATGGTGAAGGAAGCATAATGGAAGAACAAATTCTTATTTTTTTCCGTTTGAACTTAGAATCATTCAAATTCACATATACACACACGCATGCAGGCGCACGCGCGCGCACACACACGCATATAGATACATACATACATACATACATGTATTAGAAACACAAGGTTAATTAAAAGGCACAAAAAAGAATGAGAAAAAAATAAGTGCAGATGGATTTTCCAATAATACATTTCTTGAGCATTATAAAGGTAATGAGCAACAAAAGTACACATATTAATGGATTTTAAATAAAACAATTTTATATGAGTGAATGTAATTGCACTTCATTGGAGGATAAATTAGGCACGCCCACCCTATCAAATTATAGTAGAAAGACAAAATAGGGTCCCTAACGCATTTCTACTTAAGGGGTTTTATTAATGTTGTTCCAAATTGTCAAATGTTGAAACCTTCG